CCTGCAGCTCTCGCCATACACTGAATAATTAAACTTTTACTAATTGCTCTAAGCAACCAAATTCGCAGCGCGTTAAAACCCCACGTAAGATGCCTGAAGGCCTGGGCCGTTCCTCGGTTCCAAGAAGGAACCGCAGGCTCCTGCACTGACACCCAAGCAGTGGAGCATTTAGCCATCAGCCCGAGGAGTCAGATGTCTGACCATGGAGCCAGGCTGGCACAAAAGGCAACAACATCCAGAGCAGAAAGTTTAGTTCTCCTCCCCTCGTTTCAATCACACTATAGCTAGAACAGAATCGACAGCCTGGGAAATGCAGGCAAAGCAACGGAGCAGAGAGGGTTGAAGTTCCTAGGAAGGAACAGCCATCCATGTCCTGCAGGAAGGCTCCTGCCTCCCGGTGTGTGCACCACAGCGCACACAAAACATCCCTCTTCCTGAAGAGAACCCAAAAATATAATCTTCTATAATAAAATCCAAGATGTAAAGTTAAACACACAGATATATGTACACAGATGGAAAGAGGAGTGATAAGGAGTGCTACTGCTGATGGACATGGGGGTTCTTCTACTCAAAGTGGCAAAACAACCTCTCTAAGGACCCTACGGGTCCCTGAGTTGTCTGCATCTCATCACATCTGCATGCTAGAAAGGCTGTCCAGCCCCAGAACACAGACCTCCTCTGTGGATTCTGGTGATGAATACCCAACATCTTGCATGCTTCCCACCATGTTATGGAAAACACGTGTCTGCCAGGCCATGGAATGCCACAGGCAGCACATACAGGTCTGAATGTGTGCAATCCCATCCACCTTCTCTGCGCCAGAATCAGAGTTTGGGTGCCACAGGTACAGCCTCCTCATGCTAACACGAGTGAGCCATCACCCCCTCCAGTCTTTTTTCCATTTTCTAGATGGGAAAGAGAGCCAAATCCTACACAGAGAATCCAACAGTAGCTACAAGGCTGCCTATTATGCTCTCTTGTGTCAGGACCATCTATATTCAGCACCAGTCACCCTTGTCCATCCCATATACACTGGGCTCATCAGTTCACATGACGCCTGCCTGTATTTTTAAGTGCTGTTTGGGCTACCTATGGCAGCACTTATTCCTCCCCTGTCTCTCTCCTGCAGATGCATAAAGCATAATGCCAAGGAGCACTCACACCAGTCTCTCTGGAATTTCTGATCATGTCCCCATGCCAAGGAAATGTCATGTCTACAGACACATTTTGAAAGCAGGAAAAGCTTCAGTGGAGGGCAAACATATGTGCTTTTCCCTGGAAATCTGTACTAAAAAGCCTTTCGAATTTGTTTCTCATCTGTCACTGGAAGATCTCTGTCCTTTGGCTCACAAGGGGTCTGGTTTGCTTTTTGTTTTGCTTAATTAAGAGAACCTCTCTACAGTCAGAAGCTGAAAAGTGAGGTCAAACAGCTTTAGAAGCACATGATGGCTTCTGAAAACTGTCACTTTTACTGAGAAAGAAGAAGCAGCTGTCAAGTTTATCAGAGGAGATCAGCATCACATGGGAGTGCTTCCTTTACAAGAAAGACTTTATTTGAAAAGAAAGACCACCACTGTTCTAATTAATTAGAAAAAAAATAAGAAAGAACATCAGCAGCCAGTGTCCATCATGCATTTGTAAAATACCTAACTCATCTGTGGGGTAAAATAAGGAAAACTCAGAATAAAACAAGGGTGGCTGCATATAGTTTGGGAAAGGGTGACTACCATCTATAGCACAGCATAGACCCTGCAAAGGAAAGAAGCCCTTCAGAAGACTTGCCACACAACTGCTGCCCCTAAGAACTCCTCCTCTGCACATTCCTCCAATTGGCTTGATACAGTCTCATAAACAAGAGGCATGGAGGAATAGGGTCTCACAACACTTTCCAGTAGTTTGCACTAAATTCTCAAGAAGAGCTTGCAGAGAAATTGAAGCCACTGCTGGGCATGGTCAGGCAGTTAAGGACTTTCCTCCTTAGGAAATAAACTGACTAAAGGCTAATCTGAACTTGCAGAACTGAAATGTAACTGAAAATATAGAATTCACATATATGATATCTTTATTTTAAAGAGATATATGGAATACCATTGTTTGTCTAAACTTATGTAAGACAGAAATTCCTTATTCTTTTACTACTCCATTCCTGGGGTATGGCTGACTGTGAATCCTGCCTCTCTTGCAGTCGTCATACTAGCTGGAACCATCAAATGTATTTTAATAGCATAGTGCAAAAGAACTCAGAGTGTTTCACTGAGTTAATTTAAAAGAATTTTAAAATTCCAGTCAATATTTTGGGACTACAAATATTCCTTGAAACCCTTCCCTCAAGACTACATAACAGGCAGTAGGGCAAGGATTTGAAGCAGGGCAGTTAAAGTAAACAGAGAAGACACGGATTTGTGTATTTATTCTATTGATAGAATCAACTCACATTAGCTTATACCTTAGCTAGCTAAGCTAACATTTGTTCTCCAAGAATAAACGGCAAGATATTGCTAGTCCTTTAAATAAGAGTGTAATTTGCTCCCTTTGGAACACTGTGCATGAAGGCAGAGGCCTCTGATAAGTCATGGTTAGTATAATTATTCAGTCTCTTTCCCTGAAGGGCCTCTGCAATGCAGCGGTCCTCTTACTTTTTTTTTCCTCCTTGTTAGCAATGCCCTAGTTTGTTCCCTGCTGCAGTCCCCCTCCCTTCCACCAGCACCACATTGTAACAATCTCTAATTGAGATCTCACCTGCTAACTAGGAGCTCGCAGACAACTGCAGAACACCAGAAACAGCACTCACAGCCACCTTCTCCAGCTCCTCCAAATTCACCAATACTGAGGGAATTGTCAAACAAGGGTTTTAAAACCTACCCACTTTGCAGGCCACACTGGAGAGATTCCTAACAGCTGAGTATCAGTTTCCATCCCATCAGCATCAGCTGTATTTCACATGCAACCTGCAGCCTCAGTAGCAGAGCAGATGAAAAGCACCTGCAGACTCTTCCAATACTCAAGAAATCAGGCAAACTCAATTTTGATGCTGAACAAAAGACTATGTTCTCTTTAAGAGCTATTTCCATTCCTGTTTGTCAGTGTGCCTCGACAGCCACGTCACAAACCTCTCCTTCCTCCTGCCACAGTGATCTGCCTCTGCTCCTCTCCTGTCTACACACACTGGAAGCAGTGCTGCCCCGACTTCCTTGAAATGTCCCTCTTGTATGTGGCACAAGAAACAGCAGCTACAGGTCAGAAAGTGGAGACAAGCTCAATGTTTGTGTTATGTGACGTTACAGGGAGGGGGAGAGTCAGGGACGGGTGCGTCAGTCTGCTGCTAATACCAATGGATAACCTTGAATAGCTTGATACAAGTACTGTGCCACTGAAATCATGCCTGATACTACTCAGAAGGACTTTCTATCATATTCTTTCTTCCCCAACTGTCTCCAAAAGCATAACCTCAGACTCTGCACACGTACACACATCGCTCTGCTAGAATTCAGCTAAAAATGGCTCCTCCTCACCTATCCCTGGTGCTCACATTTTACAGATGAACTGTGGATGCTCTAATCAGCAGTGCTTCAAATCTCCTCTGTAAGGACAGCAATATTTTAAAGGCATTAAAGTGATATCAAAAGTAATATCCACAGCAGATTTCCCAAAGCATGTGTTGTATTACAGTTACCGTGTTTGCAGCTGGCAGACAGAATAGGATGAGGTCAATTGACTGAGGAACAAACTACATCAGCATATTAGCTCACTATTTCTTTTGCCTTCAGTATGACCTACATAAGCAACTATTCCTGTGACTTCTTCTGTGTAACACTTTGTAACATTAATATTAGTTTCTCAGCTATGAAATCCCTCAAGACTAAGGATCTGACCTTAACCATACTTGTCTCCTGTATTTAGCAGAGAAAATAAGACAATTAGCAAACGGGTCACCAAGCAGGAGTGTTGGGACTTTGCTAAGATTGTACAAAATGCAATGCCCCAGCAGCTGACTCTCTCTCTGATGAAGAAAGATGAAAGCAGTATTACTGGGTTCTGTCTCAGTGTGTCATATAGACCAGCTCTTTCCCTGCATGTCCTTGATTTGCATTGGAAGCTGCATCTCTCTAGCAATCACACTCAGGAGATGGACAGGAAGGGAAACAAATGTTTCAGCCTCCTAAGTTGCCCTGCTAGCCTTCTCATTTTCCTTCTTTATAAAACGCATTTTAGGGGCATAGGGTTGCCAAGTAAACCTGAACCTAAAACTTGCATTCAGAGAGTTGTCAGTCAAATCTAGAGCCTGTGTTCCCATCCTTCAGTGTGACATTTAGGTACCAGAGATCTGTTCTGATCAAACATAGATTCTCCTGCCAACTGCCTGGCTCAGAGCTAATGCTCTCAGGGTGTCCATCACATCCCCGCAAGGCACAAGGGATGCTCTTAAGAGTTTAGAAAGGTTGATTGCAGCTGTGATGTGCCAGAGTATGCTGAGTTTGCCACTAGCAGACTGCTCTGGCACTGAGACATTGTTCGACATCATCTGTATCTGCCCCATTTGGTACCTCCTAGGTAACGAGGTGGGACGTGGGCATGACAGCAGTGTCTCACGGTTAAGTCCCCTCATTCTTTAAATTGTCCCACCATCTTCCTATTTTCGGCTTATGTAAATACATGTTTTTCTAGACAAGCTCAAGCATCACAGTTCCCAGGGAAGATACCTGGAGGGTAGATGCTCTTCTCCTGCTAGGGATTGGATAGTCCGTGTTTGGGGGAAACAATCAGCTTTCTATTCAGACAAAGAAAACACCCCTGTGTCACCTTCCCATCAAATGCAGCCACATTTTGTTCACATCAAAAGAACCAGTAAGAAATTACAGCAAGAGGTTAATTGTGCAACAGATCTTCCCCACAGTACAAACTTACCCCTCTACAGCCCTCCCCCAAACCAGAAACTGCTCCTTTCATTCACAGTCCTACCATTTTATGAGCTTTGTAAAAGAACATCACATGCTTCTTACCATCCAAGGACAGCCAGTCATGCTGGGAAGAAGGCAGGGTTGGCAGAGCTCTGGCTTTGTATTCAAACACCACAGAATTGGAGATGATCTGATTGTTGAAGGCAACTTGCAAAGTCACAAGCCCAGTGTCATGAGCTAGAAGAAAAACACATTTGGTAAGACACAGACCTCCCCACAGAAATGCAAGGCTGGGTATTATCCTACTGATCTCCCCTTGTGCTCAGCAGCAGGATGAGAGAAGATGCAATGAGAGAAGAGGGAGCATTTGACAATAGTTTTGAGGAATGCAAAATGCCAACCTGATTTTCAAATGTGAAGGTTGTACGATTGAGAGTCATCTTATGGGTTGTTTAGGCAGGAGGCAGAATCACATGTTCTTAAAGATTAACCAGCCTCACTGCATTTCCAGCAGGAAGCTAGGGCCTAACAATGAAGCTAAGTTATTCTCCACACACCCACATATCCTGAGGCCTAGCACTGCCGAAACTCTCTGCAGGGAGGCTGAAAGTGCTCTCATCCTGTGAGTACCAAGGACATAGTGCAGGATATAGGCAAACTAAAGAGTCAGCAGAGCAGTGACTGCACCCCTGACTAACAGTTGCTCTTTAATCTCGTATTTCAAAACTAAATAAATGCTTAGAATTATTTAAAATTATTTCAAATAATTATTTTAAAGCTAACCCAGAGCTTCTAAATAGTATTTGCTGTGATTTGTTGTCATGTGTCAAGATCCTAAATTGCTGTTCTCACACTAAATAGGTCAGAGAAAAAGGAAAAGCTTCTTGATGTTTATGCACTAGTTCTCACAATACGTCCGTAAGTTTAGTTAACACACCACCATGAGGCTAAGAACTTGCTCTGAAACCACCAGCTTTATGAGAGAGGTTTCCTTACCTGGGCAGTAGCAGCGCAGTACCCCTGGCTGAATTAAGGATGCAGGCACTGAGATCTGATCAAACAGACAGCTGTAATTATTGCTGGCTTCCTGCCATGGACCAGTAATTAGGACTTTCACTCCTCCCTGTGAAGAACAGAGCGGGAAAAATCAAAGCATTACAGCAGTCATCCCAGGGACGACCGTGCCTGGAACGGCCGAGTGGCAAACAGCACCGTGAGGGCAGCACAAGCGCAAAGCCAGCTCAGGTCCTTGGCACCAGTCAACACCGACGGGCCCAGGGGTCCTGGGGCGGCCTCGCTCCCCGGCCGCCTCGGGA